ATACCTGACATACTCCACTGGCTTCTTGTGCACATACAAAGGTACATGTACCCATGTACATACATGTACATACATACACACACACACACACACACACACACACGCATACACAAAAAAGAACCCAGCTAAACAGAAAACTCCATCGAGGCATTTCACTCATCAACTCAGAATCCAGTTTCTGTTGTATGTGCCACATCTGTGTCCAGGTGCTGGTCCACATTCGAATGTATGCAGAAGCCAGATGAGGATGCTAGGCACACTGCTCTGTGATGCTACTTCATTGTTAAATGAACCTATTCCTGCCTTCCAAACTCCATCACTGTCCTCCCACAGTGCCGACAAGTTTAGAAATTCAAGTCACCTCTTTGAGTCAAGTTCTGGAATAATTAAGTAGAGTTGTATTAACACACAGGTTCAGGGACATTACTTCTGGAAATTGCATGGCACAATGTAATCAATACTTGTGCAGGGTGGTGGAGGTACAAAAGTGTTAGTTTCTGTTGTTGTTTGTAAACAACAAAGAGAAAGACCAGAGTTGACAAAGGAATGTCCCACTTTTGAGGTGCCTCCATTCTTGGGTGTCTATTTTTTCCTTTCTTCGAGGAATACTATATCAAGCAATTATGAGCCACACGGTGGGGGCTGGGAATTGAACATGGGTCCTTTGGAAGAGCAGCTAGTGCTCTTAACCCCTGATCCTTCTCAGGAGTACCGTATCGGAAGAGTTCAGGCGCACTTGTGAAGTCAATAGTTGTAGGAGAGTGATATTCAAAGAATCTTGGACTGCTTTTACGAAATGTCACACGATGACAAGTAGTGAAAAGTGTGGGAATTCAAATTGAGAACATGGGAAGAGGGGGGAGGAGAAGGGAAGAAAAGGAAGGATGCAGACGTCATGAGGAAGCAGAAAGGTTGAGTCAGGTGTAGATTAGAAGAAAGGACATATGATAGGATTTGAGTTTGGGGGGTTGTAGGGGAGGAAAGGAGGGAGAAGGGAACTGGGATTGTCATGTAATTCAATCTTGTTTGTAATTCAAATATATAAAAAATTTAAAAAATATAAAAATAAAAAAAGGAAAGCAGACTGAGCAAACCAGAGGGGGGAAAAAAAGGTGGAAATCCATGTCACTCAGTATCCAAAAGGAAAATGCTAGTGCCCTCAATAGTTAGAGGAACAGCCCTGTTTGGGGGTCATTTGTAGACAATGGTTCACCCCACCATCTTTTTGGTGTACTAATAATTTTTAATTTGTTCTGTCTCATTTTCTGGTCATCACCTATTATGCAGCAAGTCTGACTTTCCCTATCTAGCAGTGCCATGAGCTTTCCTAAGTAAATCTATTTTAGTTGACTAAATGAGCCTACTTAAGCATACTGAGTGGTAAACAGCACAGATGGAAGCTGTGGCCCAAATCCTGAAGGTGGAACAAGAGACCATTTGGTTTAGAAAACACTGAGATAGTCACTAACTAAACCCTTAGCTGCAGCATGCAAACAGTTAAAACCTTAAAGTCTCAACAGCATTTCTGAACACACTCCCCAGAGGTGGACAAACCCTTTACCGAACTGACTGAAGCCCAAGACCCAAGACCCAAGACAATGTGGGAAGTGCCAGGGGGTACAGGTGGTCATCACTGCCATCATGAAACTGATGGGGGAGAGTATATCTTTCTCTACCATGCTACTGGTGTTAAAGGACAAGGCGAGTCAGCACTTTTCTTCTGCAGAGAGGCAACACAGGTCCACCTTTTGAATAGAGGAGAGTGATGGCCCAGCTTGCTATGTTTGGTTTGGAGTTATTATTATGCATAATTATGTGCTAAAAATCTGTTGTTGCTTTGCTTTCCACTTTTTTCAAAATCCTCCAGAGAGGTACATATTCGCTCGTTTATTTACTGGGGGCTGTGCTGTGGTGCTCATGTGGTGGTCAGAGGACGACTTTGGGAGAGTCAGTTCTCTCTTTCCAGGGATCAAACTCAGGTTGCTGTGCAGTGAGTGGGGCAAGCTCTTTTACCCTTCGAGCCATCTCACTGGCCCTATGTGCCCACATCTTGAATTGCATACTTTATCTAAGTTTCTTCATGTGATTCTCAAGCAAGAGGATTAAACTTTCTGCTCCTTTTTTTTTTTTTTGCGTATCAAAAGGTGGTTGACTGATACAAATGGGGAGCAAGAATAACAGCCCCCCTTACCTTGTCATAACTTCTGCTATAATGAGGGTGCCTTTTTGCCCTGTGGAGAAGGATGTAAGGAGAAGACCCAGAACCATACTATAACAGTTTCCTTCCCATCGGTAAGACCACAGTGCAGGTGTGTGGGCAGCGGAGAAAGAAGAGATCTTCTTCACTCTCACCACCATAGCACACATCCTCAGCACCTTAGTGGTATGTAAAACAGCCAACCCATCCTTGTGTAGCATCCTGATGGGAGTTGCAAAGTGAGGCAAACAGCTCTGCAAGAGCACAAGGCCTTGCATTACAAGCCAGAGGTTCTTAACAATGCTAAAAAAGAGGATGGTGTAGTATTGCAGAACACTGTCGGTGAGTGATATGGCTGCAGCAGCACTCGTGAACTAATAAAAGCTATGATTACCTGCACGTGACTTGAGTCTGTCAGCATCCTGCCATGAAGTTGGTAGGGGCTCACGAGGCCCCCACCCCTACCTGAGGATTGATAGGAGGTTAATGGTTTCTTGGGAAGGGAGAGACATTTTCTTTAGGGGTTTTATTATCATAGCAAGGTGTCCACAGTCCTCCTCATTCATGTTTTGTAGGCAATACTAGTTAAATTTGTTGGGACAGACACACACACACACACACACACACACCACACACACACACACAAAGGTAGGAGACTAGTTCAGAAGAAAACGGAGATCAGGGGACAAGAGAGGGTAAAGGGGCTGAATATGATCAAATACTGTATATATATAATAAACATGTCATATGAATTCCATTATTCAGTATAATCAGTACATGCTAACAAAAAGCATTAGCAAAGTTTAAAGCAGGCATACACTGTAGCAGTGTAAATCCTGTGAGAGAACATCCCTCAGGCCATTGAGCAAGCATACCGTGCCATCCACCCACACTTAAAACAAAATCAGCCGTATCTTCCCCATCTCAGAGTAACTTCACTCTTCAGGAGCTAGCACCCGGCCTCCACTGCTCTCAAGGTCAGATCCACCTGTTTCTGTGCAATCACTCCCTGTGAATCAGTGATTTTCTTCATTCCTGACATAGCATCAGAAGCCTCTTTGAATAGAAGGAAAACTGAGTCCTGTTGAATAAATGATCTCACTTTCAGCATTTCCCTTCCCCAACATTTTGTGGGTGATGGGGAGGTCCTTTGCACTCACTTGTCTCTTGTCGCTTGTCTCTCCCCTCTCCTGGTAACTCTGTGAAGAAGGGATGTCTGGGCTTCTGACACCCTGAGACAAGAGTATGCGTTCATTTTTTCATTTACTTAAGTTTTTTTTCTTTTTCTTTTTGTGGGCTGGCATGACAGGGTCCCTGCGTTGCAGGTATTCAGCCTTCTTGGATGAGCATACAAACAGATGACCTAAGGGCAGTGAGCTTGTCCTTTTGGATTTTGAAGTTTGTACAAGAGTCCCATTTTAGAGACTCTCGGTACTATTGGTAGGGTTTTCATCACTATGTGTTTTATTTTGTGCAGACAGTGTGGAGAATGAAGTGCTACTCAGAGGTTATTGCAGTAACTTCCATGGGAAATAAGACACAAGGGTAGGTGGATGAGTTTCAACTAGCGGACTAAACAGACTACAGAAACATGTACCTGGGAAGCAGTCATCTGATGACTGCATCTAGAAGATACGTTCTTGAGAAAATCTTGAGGTAGGATTGCTTTTCGTTTATCTCCACATCCTCTGGGGGTAAGCAGCCCTTTTGTCTTAGTGTTCTTTCTGTGGTATTTTTAGCCAATCTGTTTTAGGGATCACTGATTTAAATGTCGGTTAAGAACCTAACATTTATAACGAAGGTGAAAATGTGCTTTATGAAATCTCTTCTCTTTCCTCATGTATATTAAAAGGAAATTCTGGATATGCTAAGTAGTGGTACAGGTTGGGCAGCTCACAGTTAGGATCTATACATATTGGATGAGGGTACACTGTACTTTTTATTATTTTAAAATAATTTTAATTTTACTCTTTTTTTGTTTTTGTTTTTTTGAGACAGGGTTTCTCTGTGTAGCTTTGGAGCCTATCCTGGCACTCGCTCTGGAGACCAGGCTGGCCTTGAACTCACTGAGATCTGCCTGCCTCTAACTCCTGAGTGCTGAGATTAAAGGTGCACCACCAACGGCTGGCTAATTTACTCTTTTCTAATTTCATATATACATGAAATACCCTTCTCCCCCACTCCCTTCTCTTATTGCCCTCTGATTTCCTCTGGAACCCTTCTTTACTCTGACATGTCCACAGGTACATTTATAAATAGGCTCCTGATTAAGTTTTTTTTTTTTAGATGGGGATCTCTTTTTATTGCCCTGTAGACCAGGTTGGCCCAGAACTCACAGAGACCCCCCTGCCACTGCCTCCTGACTGCTGGGGTTAATGGCGAGGCTCACTCTGCCCATCTCTGATTAAGTTTTTAACTATTATTTGATAAGTCAAATGGCTAAGGTAATTTCTCACCTAGGGAGACTAAAAGGGAAATTGCTGGAGAGGAGGAATTTTATTATCTAGGATAATTTTTTAACGTTAGTTCATAAGTTGCTTTACGTCTTACTATCACCTTAACTGAAACGAAAATTCAGCGGGCACTAGGAGTTGGCAAAATACATTAGTAGCTCTTCAGAAAATACAACCCTCAATGTCATCTTGTTCCAAAGTTTTGTTAAGGGTTCTTTTCCCTGTGTCAGCAGCACAGACGACCTTCCTAAGTATGTGCGACTGATTTTGTCCAGGGACTGACCAGTCACCGGCACACCTCATCACACACCATAAGTTTCTATCTAGGGGCCTTGGCCTTGGCTACTTACAGAGTCTGGGTGCTGGGTGGTAGGCTGGGGATGCGGTGGAGTTCCTTGCAGGTGACTCTGAAGTCGTCCTCCTCGTGGCATTCGCAGGGTGGAGACGCACATCCTCTGCCCCACAGGCTCCCGGGCAGGGCGAGCAGGAGCGCAAGCTGCAGCAGGTACCCTGGCCTCATTTTCCAAGGGACCTCCTAGGCTACTTCATGGTTGCGCGCTGTCGCCTCATTCTCTGTGCCCAGCGCCTGACGCTGGAGGAGACCGGGGAGCGAGAGGGAGGAGGAGGGTTCCGAGGGGCTGTGACCTCATCGCTGGAAAGCACGCTGGAGAGGGGGCAGGAGAGGCTCTCAAGTACTCAGCTTGCCTAGGCAACTCTCCATCCAAACAAGCCAGCTTGCCGCACTTGATCAGCCTCGCAGCTCTTTCTGTTCCGAGACACCCAACCTGTACTCTCTCTCAGTCCTGCCCATTAAATTTTTCTAAAGCCCCATAGACGCGCCTTCTTCTTCCCCTCTCTCCGAATTCCTGGAGCCACCTTTCTTGACTGAGCAGCCTTTAAGTGCGGTGGCGACCGGGGACCCACCCAAATGGGCTTCGTCTAATGTCACCAAGGAGGAGACTGTTGTGGGACACTCTAGTGTCCCCTGGAACTTCGGCTTCTCCAGGATAAAGTCACCTTTGCTGAGAATTGGAGCCGACAACACAGCCGGAACCAGCTCAGGCGGCAGCCGAAGTGGAATGTGACACTCCGGGAGGATTCTCGATGCTGGCCAGCTGGAGCAGCCAGGGACGTCGCGCTTCGGTGATTCTCAAGCCACTAAACCTGTGGTCTGGACGTCTCAAGATGCAAAACCTGAGCAACTCCGTCAAGTCAGGCGCTGGGCTCTGGAGCCATCTGCTGTGGACATCTGGGAACTGCGTGTGCAGGTCCCATTGCCGCGCGGTGACAATCCGGTTTTGCCAACAGGAGGGAGCCTGCTTAGAAATCTAGAAATTCCCCTTCATCCTGTCCAGAAAACGAGAGTAAAAAGGAACATTAAGTGCTACATCATTTTTCACACATTAAACAAAAATATTAATAATAAATATAAACTAGATTATGTCATTTTTCTTCTTGAAAGCGTAATTGCTTTCTAATTCCCCGAGGAACAAAAGGAACACTAATTCCTGATATGCTACAAGGTTTCTTTTAAATGTATCTCTAGAACAGGATGGAAAGGCTAGGGTTCTGGGTATCCAAGGATTCATTAAGAGAGAAGACTCTGAAAATGCAAGATTGATTAGGCTGGAGGTCAAGGGTAGGTCAATATTAAGATGCATTGAACTGTACGATTAAGGTACATGCATTCCAGTGTTTATAGAAACTTTATCAATAGTCACCCCCAAAGTATAAACAACCCCACATCTTCTTCAAGAAGATAGTCAATGCACAGATGCTATTTCACAGTAAAATGAATCCAACATTAGTTTAGACAACATATACAAATCTTCAATGTGAACGATAAGCGCAAGAAACCAAATTCAAAAAATTGTGTATTTATATGTGAGCATTCATATATATGACATCAGGGCTGGGGATGTAGCTCAGTTGGCAGAGTGCTTGCCTAACATGTCCAAGGTTCCAAACCTAGCAGAGCATAAACTTGGTGTGGTAGCACACTTCTGTAACCCCAGCATGTGGAAGTCAGAGGCAGGAGGGCCAAGGTCCTTGGCTATACAGCAAGTTCTAAGCCACATGGACTATATGAGACCCCCTACCAAAGGACTGACATCTCAAAAGAGACTGACTACGAACAGACATCAATATATTTTTCTGGGAACAGAAATTTTCTCAGTTCATTGTGGTGGTCCCATGGCAATTTCTAAATGTGAAGAATTATAGTGCATGCATTTTGAATGTTGAAACCATCTTAAACCCAGGGATAAATGCTCTTTGGCTGTTTGTAATGCATTCTTGCAGTAACTTTACTGACATTCTGTTTGAGTTTCATGTAGATGTTCCTAAGGAAAGATGGTCTATTACTCTTTTCTTTAGTTTCTTTTGTGTAGTAGTATTCTCAGTAATCGATTCTTTCGTCACAGACTGAATTGAGAAATATTTCTTCCTGTCTACGTTTGTATTAGAGCTTCTATACAATTTTATATTTTATTCTTATCTGGTAGAATTTACCAGTGAAGCCACCTAAACATTGAGTTTTCACTACAAAATTGACTTCTAAAAACAAGTGAAATGTTATTCAGGCTCTTTCATTCTCGTTAGACAGTTTGGCAGTTTTTAATTTTATAAAGGATTAGTTATCTATTGCTGTCTTCATTGCCATAACATTGTTTACAATATTATCTCCATGCATTTATACAAACATGCATAATCTGTTCTAATGTTAGCTCTTTCATACCCAATATTGCCATTTTGTGTCTTCATTCTGTTTTTCACATTGACACTTTGAGGGCTTTGTTAGTGTCATTGATATTCTCAAGGCAGTGTATTTTCAGTTCATAGATCCCATATTATAGTCCATCCACATGGGCATGTCAACTGGTGTTGTCATTGTGCAGGTTTTGTTTAGGTGACCATATTGTTGAGATTTCAAGGGTGCAGCTTTCTTGTGATATAGAGAAGACACTATGTCTCAGATGACATCCTGGTCCTCTGGTGCTTACAATCTTTCTACCTCCCTCTCTCACAGTGCCCCTTAAGCTATAGGTATAGGGGTTGTGTTGTAGATGCATCATTTAGGGTTGGGTACTCAGTGGTCATTTGCTCTCTGCATTTGGCCAACTGTGGATTTCTCACCTCTACCAATGCTCAGTCTGAAGGGGTGATCTGCTGAACCTCAGATTGTATCTCCAGACTGCGCTGCTCTCCACCAAGCCTCTGAATCTAAGACTGCAATCCTCAGAAGCAAATGCCCTGAATTCCTGTCTCTTCCTGCCTTATATTCCTCTCCTTGCTCAGTCATATCTCTCCTGTCTCCACATCCCTAATGCTGGGATTAAAGGCTTGTGATCCCAAGAGCTGAGATCACCTTTGTGTGAGCTCTTTCTATTTTAGACTGGATCAATTTTGTGTAGCTCAGTGTGGCCTTGAACTAACAAATATCTATCTGCCTCTGTCTCTTGAGTCCTGGTATTAAAGTTGTGTACCACAACTGTTTGGCCTCTATGGCTAGCTAGTGTGGTTGCTGTGGTTAAAGGTGTGTATCACCACTGCCTGGTTCTATGGGTGTGGCTCGATTTGCATTTTGTTCTCCAGTAGCTTTATTAAATAATAAACAATATATCACCACAGATTTCTATAATGTTCTCCACAGATTAAAAAAAGAAGCTTCTTTGAGATGAGTGTGATGTCTTAGTAAATTTTCCTGTTGTAGTGTTGAAATACCCTGGCAAAAATAACTTGATGGAGAGAGGGTTTATTCTGGCTCACAGTTCAAGGGTAATGCCATCAGGACAGAGAAGTCAAGACAGCAGGAACTTGAAGCAGCTGGTCATGTCACATCTGCAACCGGAAAGCAGAGAGCAATGAATGCATGCTGGTACTCAGCACCTTTTTTTTTTTTTTTCATATATACAGTCCAGGATCTCAGCCAGGGAATGGTTCCGGCCACAGTGGGTGTGTTTTCCCACATCAGTTAAAGTAGTCAAGATAATCCTACACAGGCACACGCAGAGGAAGTTTCTCGAGATAATTCTAGATTTTGTTAAGTTGACAATTGACACTAAGCGTCACATGTGGGTTTATGATTTCGTCAAAATTAGAAAGTCTCAGCCATATGTCTTTTCTGTTCCATTTTCTCACCCCTTTATGTTTAGGATTCCAATTGTTGCACTTACAACAGGCTGGAGTTGTCCCACAAACAAAACACTCAAACATTATCCCCCCCAAGAATATAACATCTCACTGAATGTCAAAATAGTTCAATTGGGAGAGGATTAGACTGAGTTTTTTTCTCTCTCTCTCTGCTTTTCATTTGAGTGATTTCTTCTGGTCTGCCTCCAAATTCGATTTTTAAAAATTCCCCTGGAATGTTTAATCTGCCACTAATCCTTAACATATGTTTCATATCATAAACCACTGTTTTCATTTCTAGAAGTTCTCTTTCTCTGTAAAACCTGTACAACACAGTGACTCATTTGATGCCTATGTTAGTTTCTAAGACCTGCTATAACAACTAAGTTGCACACAGCATGTTTAGATTTAGATGCATTAATTTTCTTGTAGTTTGTAAGTCTGGAAGTCTACAACCAAGGTTTGGGCAAAGACACACTCTTTCTTAGAGCTCTAGAGGATGATTCCTATTCTTCTGAGTTTTGGTCGTCTTCAGCGCTCCTCATTATCCCAAGCCTTGAATCATTGCAGACTCTCCTCTGTCATCAAAAGGCTGTCTCCTCATATGCCTCTCTGTTCAAATTTCCCTTTTCGTTTATGTATGTCAATCCTTGGATTGGGAACCAATCCAGAATGACCTAAACTTGCCTTCAATATATGTAAAGGCCATATCTCAAATAAGGTCTTATATACAGGTCCTCCAAATTAGAAATTGAAGATACCTTTTGGGAAGCATAAGTCAACCCATACGACATCCTTGTTTGATAACTGCAGTGTCTTTGCAGGCATTGAATCAATATGGATTGACTTAGTTTTCCTCCTGAAATGAATTGGCATTTCCTGTTGCTTTGTCTGTACCATAACCTGTTTGGATTTCAGAAACTGTAAATGATACAGAGTTTGGCACTTTGTTTTGCAGCCACGGTGAATGCTCTTGACATTTATTGTTAAATATGGTTAAATATTGGGGTCCCTGCAAGTGTTACAGCCAGCAGTGAAATGATCCATGGAGAGGCAAGACGTAGTTAGCCAGGCTGGTTCAAATTTCTGGAGTCTGATACCAAGCAGTTTGTTTGTTTGTTTACTTTCCATATTTCAACACAATAAAACTTTGGAAAAAAGTCTCCTCCTGACAACAAAGCTTAAGGCATGACTACATCGAGACTCCCTTGCAAAGTTCATGTCTTTTGCAGAGCACCTGTGACCTCTTCTACAAGAGTGGGTTCTGTTGATTTTGAAACAATGCTGGGGATAAAAGCCCAGGGAGGAAGAGTTTGTAATAAGCATAATAGCAAACCCTTTCACGAAGTACATGGGACAACTTTCATGAGGATGGCTCTCTTGACTCAG